AGCACTCTCTATCAGAATCCCAGCTGTATTATTTGTGGAAATTGACAAGTGGATTCTAATATTTACATGGAATTGCTAGATATCTAGAATAGCCAAAATAATTTTTAAAAAGAACACAACAGGAAAAACTCACACTTCACAACTTTGAAATCTACTACAAAGCAACAGCAGTTAAGATAGTGTGGTACAGATGTTGTAGATCAATGGAATAGAATGGAGAGCTCAGAAGTAAACCTACATGTCTATGGACGGCTAATTTTCAACAAGTGTGACAAGACCATTCAATAGGGAAAAAATAGTCTTTCCTGTCTTCTCCTTATCTTTTTCTTTCTTTTTTCCCTCCCCTTAACCAATGATGATGTAACACTTGGAGGGCCATATGCACAAGAGTAAAGTTGGACCACATCTCACCAATACGAACACAAAATGGATTAAAGACTTAAATGTAAGAATTCTTAGAAGAAAACATGGAGTCAAATCTTCATAATCTCAGATTTGATAGTGAATTCTTAGACATGACACCAAATACATAAGCAATGGCAATAAAATAGAAAAACACAATTGAAACTCAAGTCTTTCGTGCTTCAAAGGATACTTATTAAGAAAGGATGTGAAATCCGAGGCAAAGTACTTAATCTACAGAATGGAAGAAAATAATTACAAATCATATACCCATAAGGGGCTTGTATCCATAAGATTCAAAGAACCAATAAAACTAGATAATAAGAGACAACCAGATTAAAACAGCAACGCTTGAACCTCCAAAACTATTGGTGAGAAATCAGAATCCTAAGCACTGCTGGTAGGACTGTAAAATATTGCAGCCACTTTGAAAAACAGTCTGGCAGAGTTACCATGTGACCTAGCAATTCTGCTCTTAGGTACATATCTAAAAGAAACAAAAGCATGTTTACACAAAAGTTGTACATGCATGTTTATGGCAGCATTATTTATAATAGACAAAATGCAGAAGTAACCCAAATGTACATCAACTGACAAATGGATAAGATGTTGTATATCCAGGCAAACAGAATGTTACTCAGCCATAAAATGTAAGGAAGTACAGATACCTGGGACAATATGGATAAACTGCAACAATGTTATACTAAGTAAAAGAAGCCAGCCACAATGGACCCTGTGTGACTGCATTGATAGGAATTTTCTAGAAGAGGCAAATATATAGAGATAGAAAGTAGACTAGCTATTGCTTCAGGCTGGGGTAGCAGATGGGGATCAGGGGAGTGGCAGAGGGTATGGGGGTTTCTCTTTGGGGTGATGAAACTGATCTAAAATTGACAGTGATGATGTTGCGCAGCTCTGTAATACACTAAAAATGGATCCAGGGCCATGTGGATGGCTGACCACACAATGACAGATGAGCTCAACAGTAGTTTATAAAAGGAAGACACAGATGTCCCACTGGGCAACATGGGGATGCATGTGGGTGCAGAGTGGACTAGCAGTGGCTGTGGGAGGCAGTTTTGTAGAAATGAGGATAAGGGGACCCCTGGCTCCTGGGGGAGGAAGTGACTGGCTTGTCTGAACACTTCTGCAAGCCGACTTAAACCTCACACATCTTACAAAAATAAAACAAAATAAAATAAAATGGAGTAAAGACTTAAATGTAAAGCCCCAAACTACAAAACTTTTAGAAAATAACAGGAGACAAGCTTTAGACCATGAATTAGGGAGATGGTTCTTAGACACGACACCAAAAGTACAATGCATGAAGGAAATTAATAAACTGGATTATCAAAATAAAAACCTGTTGCTTGGTGAATGGCCAAGTGGCCTTGTTAAAACAATTAAAGGGCAAGCTGTGGATTGTGAGAAAATATTCACAAATTATCTATTTGAAAATGGACTCACCTAGAATAAAGAAATCTTCCAACTGAACAGTAAAAGAAATCATCAGGGCTGGGGCTGTAGCTCAGTGGTTAAGCTCTTGCCTAGCATGTGTGTGGTCCTGAGTTCAATCCCCAGTACTTGGGGGAAAAAAGAAAAGAAAAGAAACCAAATAATCCAACTGGAAAATGAGCAAACACACAAACAGACATTTCACCAAAAAGGATATGCAGAAAGATGGTTAAGAAAAACAAACACACACATGAAAGGAGTTCAGTGTTATTAACTATTAGGGAAATATAAATTAAAGCCATAAGGAGATCTCACTATATACCCATTAGAACAGCTTTTAAAATGGTGATAATACTACATGCTAGTGAGCATGCAGAGAACATCTATCTCTTACATGTTGCTGGTAGGAATATAAAATGCTAAGACCACTTTGAAAAACAGTTTGGCAGTTTTTTTGTTTGTTTTTTGGTACCAGGGATTGAACCCATGGGTGTTTAACAACTGTGCCACATCCCCAGCCCTTTTTTATATTTTATTTAGAGACAGGATCTCACCGAGTTGCTTAGGGCCTTGCTAAGTTGCTGAGCTGGCTTTCAACTCATAATCGTCCTGCCTCAGCCTCCCAAGCCACCGGGGTTACAGGCATGTGTCACGGCACCCAGCTGGCAGTTTCTTTAAAAACCAAGCATATACTGACCATACATCTAGGACTATTAGTACTTGGCATTTATTCCAGAGAAATGAAATCTTATGCCTATGCAGAAACAGGTATGGGGTTGGTATACACTTCAGAGAATTGAAAGCAGGGACTCAAAGACATACTCATACACCCATGTTCATGGAAGCATTATTCACAATAGACAAAAAGTAGAAATAACCCAATTGTCCCTTGACAGGTGACTGTATAAACACCACAGGGATGGAGTTATATATATGCAACAGCTGTATACATGACATATATATGGAGTTATATGTGTGTGTACATGCATGTGCATGCAAATATTATTGATCTCTAAAGGACAATTCTGCCAAATGCTACTAAAGTGAAATCAACCAGAAAAAGGAGAAATACTGTGTGACTCTACTTGTATGAGGTACTCAGAGTAGGCATACTTCTTGAGACATAAAGGGGAAAGGTAGGGCTGAGAGACAGGAAGGGGGAGTTAGCATTTGGTAGGTACAGTTTCAGTTTTTCAAAATGTAAAGAATTTTTCCCCCAGTGCTAGGGATTGAATCCAGGGGTGATCTACCACTGACCTGTATCACTAGCTCTTTTTATTGTTTTTATTTCAAGATGGGGTCTCACTAAGTTGCTAAGGCTGGCCTTGAATTTGTGATGCTCCTTAAGCAGCTGGGATTACAGGTGTGCGCCACCACACCCAGCACAGATGAAATGAATTCTATGAACAGAAGGTGATTATGATAGCACAACAATATGAATTTATTTAATGCCACTGTTCTGCACACTTAAAATGGTTAAGATGGTAAAGTTTACATGTATTTGCTACAATTTTTAAAGTTTAAATGTCTAAAATATGTACATGAGTGTTTATGATAGCTTTGGTTGGAATAGCCCTAAACTGGGAACAAGCCAAATATGCTAGAAAGGGCAAATGGTTAAACAAATGGCAGTAATAATAAGTACTTAGTAATAAAAGTGAGAAACTATAAAACAACTTGAATAGACATCAACAGTCTAAAAGCCAACTCAAAACATCATACACTATGTGACTCCATTTATTAATGTTCTCAAGTTTACAAAATTATAGATATGAAGAATAGACTGGAGGTTGCCATCTTCCAGATGGTGGGAGGGTGGATGAGTGTCTCTACAGGTGAAAGGAGGGATCTTTGTGGAGACAGAAGTTTTGTACATTGATTGTGGTGGTGGTTACATAAGTCTACTATGCTACAATTGTATAGAACTCCACACACACACTTTCACAGATGAGTCCATGCAAAACTGATTAATCTGAACAAACTCAGTGGGTTACATCAATGCCAACTTCCTGGTTTTTCACATTATAGTTCTGTAAAATATTACCATTTCAGGAAACTGGGTGAATGGTGCATGGGATCTTTTTGTACTAATTTTGTAACTTCCTGTGAATGTATAATTATTTCAAATGTATAATTATTTAGGTATAAACAACATGCCAACCAAAATAAAAAACAAACTTGCTATTGACTTTACAGCATTTGAAGGCTTGACAACACAGACCAGAAAGTTGCCACCGATCTGACCTGGGCTGTCCATATTGAACTGGCTTTTGTCTCACTTAGCCACAAAGGTCAGCAGTGCACAACAACTGTGTCACTTTTTTTTTAATATTTATTTTTTAGTTGTAGTTGGGCACAATACCTTTGTTTTATTTATTCATTTTTATGTGGTGCTGAGGATCGAACCCAGGGCCTTGCATGTGCTCTACCGCTGAGCCACAACCCTAGCCCAACTATGTCAGTCTTGGTAGGCTCTGCCTCTAGTTTGCCACGATTTTTACTTTTCTGTATATCTGAACATTCTAATCCTGATCCGATCGATCGTTAAAGACTATCTGAGCAGGAGTCCGTTTCCTACAACACATTCCTGCCGTCCTTTGTGGCAGGTTTGTGCATCATTTGCGCAAGAACAGACTGCATAAAGCGGAGCCTGAGATGAACGGAAAAACCATGGGATATGCGTGTTTGACGACCACATATTGGAATCAGAATAAATGCAGAAATGCCTGTGAAACCCGTGCAAAGTACTTCATCTCCCAAACTCCAGGGCTTTCCTGGAGCGGGTTTCAATTTCTCCACACTTCCTCTGTCTTATCCACCCGGTGGATCCTCCCTACACTTAGTCTGTCCCGGGCCTGGGTACCTCGGAGAGTTCGCTGGACCAGCCCGACCTCCCGGGCCCTCACAAGCAGCCACCTCCAACTCGTGCCCCGCGCCCCGGGCTGGCCCCGCCCCAGCCCCGCCCCCGGGCCATAGCGCGAGGACCCCGCGGAGCTGTCCGCGGCTACGCCTGACCCAACCTACCCAGTGGCCCATCCGGATAATCCTTCCAACCCGATATGGGCTACGGCGTGGTCCTCGGGTCTCGCACCTCCAGCCGAGGGCTGGGGCCCGCCTTTTGACGAGGAGCCTCGCGGCAGGCGAAGGGACGGCTGCCCCGGAGGGAGGCGGCGCGGCTCGCGCTCCAGCATGGCGGCGGCGGTGCGAGCTGCGGGCCGCCTGCCTGCGCTGGGCGGCGTGTCGACGGGTGAGCGCGGGGAGGGGGCGCGGGAGCCGGGGGTCGCCAGGGCTTGCGGGAATCCGCGCGTAGGGAAGCGAGCAGCCTCCCACGGCTCTCCCATCCAGCCCGGGACCGCTGGGTGACCTTGCGCGCGTTCCTTGCCTCTCTGGGCGTCGGGGCGCTGGGCTGTAAAATGACCGTGAAGTGTACTTGGTTCTTCACGGTTCGTTTCGGTGAAGAGGAGGGAACTGGCGAGCCTCGCTTTCCCGGCGGGCAGGCGCGACCCCCGGGGTCACATGGTGATGCCCACCGGGTTCGAGGCTGAGAGGCGCCCGCGGGGCTCTGAAGGTGATGTTGGTTCTCCAGGTGGAGTCGGAGAGCACTGGCCTCGGTCAGCTGAATTCCAGCTGGCCGGTGGCCTCCGTGCAGAGACGGATGACTCGGACGTCAGCCCGCAGTGTCGCCGTTCGTGTCCCCCGCCGCCCCCCCCCCCCCCCGGGTCCTGGTGGGTTGTGTGCACCTAGGAAGGCGCCCTGTTGCAGTGCCGCGTAAGGTTGGTTCCAGGGCCGCTGGGTGGCCGCCACCTGCCTTCTCTGCCCTATTTTGTTGTTAAGTCCACAGTTCAGCATTTCTAATTCTGAAACTCAAAGCCCCCTAAAACCCTCAAAGTTCCCTTTTTTTTTTTTTTTTTGTAACTCATTTTGCAGCAAAAAATTTGACCAGCAATCTTGGCAGAAAATCTGACCTTAATATTATTTTCTTTTGTCCTTGTGATTGTCTCTTCCCTTTTATGTTCCTTCCCCCATCTCCTACTATTTCAAGGCCCCTTTCATAGCTGTCTTCCTTCATGAGTCTCAACTGTGTGCCAGCCACTGTCTTCCTCTGTTCATGCGTTTTCCCTCACTGTCTTCCCAATCCCTTTATGGAGTAGATTCCGTTATTACACTCTTTATACAGGTGGTGGAGGGAGCCACACAGATTGAGCAAGGGACATAGGTTTTTGCACCCAAAATTTCTGACACCAAAGTGTGGTTTTTTTTTTTTTTTTCTATTTTTTTTTGGTCTTCTTGTGTATAATTATTTTGTTTTTTTGTTTTTTTCAGCTTTATTGAACTATAACTCACATACCATACAGTACATCTATTTGAAGTGCACAAATACTTTCACAAACCCGTGCAATTATCGTTATAATCTAATTAGAACATTTTTATCACTCCAAGAAGAAAGCTTTTTAGCTGTAGCCACCACTGATCTATTTTCCACTCTTCTTAGCTCATATAAATAGAACCACATATATGGCTGGCTTATTTGGTGCAAGGTCATTAAGATTCATCCACATTGTAACATGTATCATTTTGAGTTTCTTAGGGCTGAATTGTAATGTGTCCATCACCACACTTTATCTACTCATCAGTTGAGGGACACTTGGGTTGTTTTCCAGCTTTTGGCTATTATGCCTAATGTTGCTGTAAACATTAGCATGCCATGTTTTTGCATGTGTGTCTATTTTCTTTTCTCTTGAGTATGTGCCTGGGAATGGAGTTGCTGGTTAAAATGGTAATTCCACACTTAACTTTGAGGGATGGCCAGAATGTTTTCACAGTACCTGAGGGTACAGTGAGGGTTTTGATTTTTCTTTGTCAACATTTCTTATTATCTGTCATTTGATTATAGCCATCCTAGTGAGTTTGAAATGGTATTAATTTGAAATTTTGATTTGCATTTCCCTGCTGGATATGAATGTATTTTCATGTGCTTATTAGCCATTTTTACATGTTTTTTGGAGAAATTTCTGTTCAAGTGTTTTGGCTCTTTTAAAATTGGGTTTTCGTTTTATTATTGAATTGTAAGGAGTTCTATAGGTGTCTAATCAGATGTATGATTTGCAGAATTTTATTCCATATGTTGTTTTTTAACTTTCTTGATAGTTTGTGGGGTTTTTTTTTTTTTTGTTTTTGTTTTTGTACTGGGGATTGAACCCAGGGGTGCCTAATCACTGAGACACATCCCCAGCCCTTTTTTATATATATTTTTAGAGACAGGGTCTCACTGAGTTGCTTAGGGCTTTGCTAAGGCTAGCTTTGAACTCAACAGTCCTCCTGCCTCAGCCCCTAGAGCTGCTGGGAATATAGGCGTGCACCACATGCCTGGCTTGATAGTGTTTTTTGAGACATACAAGGTTTTTGTTTATTTGTTTTTGTAGTGCTAGAGACTGAACCCAGGCATGCTGGTTCTTCTACCATTGAGCTTTATCCCCCTCCCCGAAACACAGGTTTTAAATTTTGGTGAAGTCTGATTTATCTTTTTTTTTTCTTTTTCTTTTTATCACTTGAACTTTTGGAGTTATGTTTAAGAAACCATTGGTAGACCCGAGGTCATGATAATTTACCTCTGTTTTTCTTCTAGGAGTTTTATAGTTTTAGCTCTTACCTTTAGATCTTTAGTCCATTTTGAGTTAAGTTGTACATAGGGTGTGAGGTAGGGCTCCAACTTCATTCTTCTATGGGTTGACACCCTGTTATTCCAACACCATTTATTGAACACATTCCTCTTTCCCTATTGAATGGTCATGGTCCCTCTGCCAAAAATCAGTTGCCCATAAATGCTGTCCAAGCCTGTTCTGGAGAACCACACTGTATGAAGGGTTGCACAGGGAGGTACAGTCAGAGCCTGGTGCTGTGGGGGCTTCAGAGGGTGGAGGTTTCACAAGAGCTGCTGAGCCTCCAGGATCTGGTGGATCCAGGATCTCATATACAAAAGTGTATGAGAGCGAGTTCAAGACTAACTGTGTGTCTGGATGGCTATGGGGAGGGTGGGGCAGGGGCAGCGGGAGGCTGATGTGGAAGCCTGGGGCCGGGTCGCAGTCCTGCAGGCTGTGCCCAGAATTTGTAACTTGGCAGCAGGGAGCCAGGGAAGGACATGTCAGGGCTGTTAATTGATGAAGCTTCTTACTGTAGAAAGGTGGTAAATACAAGGGGAGAGGCGGGAGACCCATTAAGAAACCTTTAACCTGTGGCTGAGTGATGCTAAGACCTGAACAAAGAAGTGGCAGCAGGACCACAGCAGAGGTGTGGCCCACGGCAGAGGGATTTTTAAAGTGACTGCCAAGCATGATGCCTGGTTGATGGGAGGGTGAAGAGAAGGTGCAGGATGATGGCAGCTACTTGGCCAGTGGTCACTGAGCCCGGAAATCACTCGTCCACTTCTCTTAGTTCTTTAATTCTGTGGATGGTATTATTCTGTGAATGTCACTGTTTTATTTATTTTGGGGGTACTGGGCATTGCACCCAATTGTGCTTCACAGAGCCACATCCTCAGCCCTTTATATCTCGAGACCTGAATTTGCACTTCCCCTGCCTTAGCCTCCTTGGTATCTAGGATTGCGGGTTTGTGCCACAGTAGCTGGCTCACGTTATTATTTTAAATGTCCTTCTTCATGTAGGAATGTATCTTTAAAATTTATTTATTCTTGTTGGAGGCCTGGGGATATAGCTCAGTGGTAAAGCACTTGCCCAGCGTATGTGAGGCTCTGGGTTCTATTGCCCACACCACAAAACAACTCCACTTTTTGCTGAGTGCAGTGGCCTTTACCTGTAATCCCAGCAACTTGGGAGCCTGAGACAGGAGAATTGCAAGTTGGAAACCAGTGTGGGCAACTTAGAGAGACCCTGTCTCAAAAAACAAAGAGGGGATGTGGCTCAGTGATGAAGCACGTGCCTGCAGGCTCCAGACCCTGGGTTCAACCCCAGCACTGGAACCAAAAAATATTTATTTACTTATTTTTAATTGACAGGTCGTTTATGGTGCAGGCAGCTTTCCCTGAACACCTTTCCAACAGCTTCTGTTTTGGCGCTGAAGACCACTCTCAGCAATGGTGAGATTCATTTGAGAACTATCTGTTCTCATAAGATTTAAGAAGAATTTCTGTAGATTTTAAAATGTCAATGGCCGAGGCATGTCCTTGATGATGGTATTGTACAGTCTTGAGTATTTTTCAAATTTTTTATGACTGCAGTTGTTGTAGTTCAAGGCTTTAAAAAATAATGGTTGCCGTTTTTGAGTAGGTATTGTGCACTAGGCTTGAAACATGTCACCTTGTTCAGCCCTCACACTGGCTTTCATGAGCTTATTCACATTTTAGAGATGATAAGGTGAATCTCTGGGAGGCCAAGTGACTTGTTCAGGATCATACAGCCAGGCCAGGCACAGTAGTGCACACCTGTAATCCCAGTGACTTCGGAGGCTGAGGCAGGAGGTTGCAAGTTCAAGGCCAGCTCTGTCTTAAAATAAAAAATAAAAAGGACTAGGGATGGGGCTCAGTGGTTAAATACCTCTGAATTCAATCCCCAGTACCTTCCCCCAAAAAAGAATGAAAGAAATCACACAGCCAGTGAAGCAGGGCTGGTCCCAGAGCTTTCTGGATGCTGTGATGTCCCCTCCTGTGGACACAGACTTCCCTGACACAGGGCAGGGCCTCTCTTCAGCTGCCTTCTGGGAAGTCCAGGCCAACCTTGCTGTGCAAGGAAGCCTGGCCCTTTCACCTGGGCTGTGTGGGTTGGGGCTGTGTCCTTGAGCTTCTGGGACTCCTGAGTGCTGGGCTTCCCTGTGGGTCTCCTGCCTTTTCCTCTTGGAGACCCGCCTGTGAGATGCCTTGGAGATCCTGGGAGAAGTCCAGCTGACAGGGCTTTCTCCCTAGTAGCAGATTTCCTACGACCTGTCACACCCACTGGGAATCAACCAGTTTGATTTGTTGCTTGGTTGATTCACTCACTGATTTATAAACAGTTTATTTACCCCTTAACATGTGCCAGGCACTGCCCTGACCTGAGCTGGTGTCGGGCCTGATAGGGATAGCTGTCCCCACTGCAGGTTTCTGTGCTATTCCTTAAAATATTAACTTTCAGGCTGGGGGTGCGGCTCAGAGGTTGAGCCTTGCCTAGGGTGCCCAAGGCCTACAGTTGAATCCCCAGCATCACACCGGAAGTAAAAAAAAAAAAATTGAGTTTCCAAAAGGTCGTGAAACACTCAGAGCTTTTATTCCTAGTCCTTTCCTGCTCCTTCCCGTCATCTAGGGACACTTTCAATTCTTTCACCTTCCTCTGGTTATATTTCTAAATATGTTGTGTCTGCCGTTCTTTAAACAACATTGTTATGCTAATTGGAGATGTAACAGTCTATCCTTACCCTTACTTTCTTCCAGTATAGGTAGAAGCACAGTTTGGACTGAATCTCTGGGCATTGTTTTTGTTATTAAATTATGTTCACATTCAGAGCTGAGCTAGGTAGTATTCTACTGTTACAATTTTTCCTGGAATTAATAATTGCCTGACTTTTAAGAAGTTGATTGCTTTCCTTATCACTATATTTTTCTAAATGCTGCAACAAATCGGTCAGAAACATAGTAATAATTTTTCTAAAATCTCTCACCAACCAGTTTTCATAGAAGAGACCCAAGTGAGAAGGAAGGAGTTCTTAGTGTGGAAAGTGATGTGTGCTGAGGTAGAACCCTGGGGGGCCCTCCGCCCCACCTGAGGGGTTCTGGCCTATCCCACTTCAGGCTGCAGGGTTGTTGCTTCCTGAGTCTGGGATCTCATGACCTAAACTTAATAAGAACTCAAAGGATCAGAACAGAGTCGATAAGTGAGGTGGATTGTGATCTGTAACTGAGCTTCAGAACGCGACTCAGCCTAAACTACTGAACTTTCTTCTTTAAAAAATCATAACACGGGGCTGGGGATGTGGCTCAAGCGGTAGCATGCTCCCCTGGCATGGGAGCGGCCTGGGTTCGATCCTCAGCACCACATACAAACAAAGATTTTATGTCTGCCGAAAACTAAAATGTAAATAAAATATTTTAAAAAAATCATAACACAGTGTAAGCAAAACCATTTACACAAGTGTGCATGAAAATTGACTGTTGTTTTGGTGGTACTGAGGATTGAACTGAGGGGAACCCTATCACTAAGCCACATCACCAGCCCTTTTTATATATTTTTTCTTTGTTTATTTGTTTTTGTGGTGCTGGGGATTGAATCTAGGGCCTTGTGCATGCAAGACAAGCACTTTACCAACTGAGCTATATCCCCAGACCTATGTTTTATTTTGAAACAGGTTCTTGCTAAGTTGCTAAGGCTGGCCTCGAACTTGAAATCCTTTGCCTCAGTCTCCTGAGTCACTGGGATTACAGCCATGTGCCACTGCACCCAGAAAAAGTGACTATTTCTAATGTATACAAAGCCCTGGGTTCAATCCCCAGTTCTTCCCTGCCTCCCATTAAAACAAACAAACAAAAAACAAGTGACTATTTCTAAATTCTAAAGTTGATTTCTTTTTATTTTTGACATTTGGCTTTTTTTAGGCTGGGTACATTGTTAGCTATGAGTGATATTTCAGTCTTTCAAAAAAAATCTGTTAATAATTTTTACACTTCTTGAACTATATCAAAGATTATAATGCTGAACAGGGCAAGATGAAATTTCTTAATATTAAGATATGTGTTGAAGATGAAGGTGTTTACAAGAAAGGCTGTGTGTAGCAGAATGAGATTTGGAGTGATAAAGTTCTGGTTTGTTAAACAATGAAGACCCAGGGCTGGGGTTGTAGCTCAGTAGCAGAGTGCTTGCCTAGCATGTGAGGCACTAGGTTTGATCCTCAGCACCACATATAATAAATAAAGATCCATCAACAACTTAAAAAAAAAAAAAAATGAAGACCCAGTGTTTTCTAGCTACATTTTATTTGGTAGTTCATCAGGTGGTCTACAGTTCTAGAGGACATCTGTGTGCTAGGTGTGATCTCCCTTCCCACAGGTGAGCAAATCATCTGGAATTGAAATTAGTGTTGAAATCTCATCCAGTCATCCAGTACCTTGTGACATTGGCAAATCTATCTCATAGGCCTGCATTTGAAACAAAATGGTTGTATTAAGTGCTGTCCAGTAATCAAAGATTATCCCTTTGTGTTTGGGTCTCTGTATTCAGTGGAACTATTTCGATGGCTTCCTACCACCCTTAGATGTCACTCTCCCCGTCCTTACCCGCTCTCTTTCTCTGGCTGTGTGAGTCATGGTTGGTGCTGCTGATGAATCTGCGGTTACTGTCCTCTACATGGCTTTACTCAGAGTTGAAAACAGCTGTTGTCATTTTTTTCTTCCTTTTTTTTTTTTTTTTTTGGCTTTCCATTTATCAAGCCAATACCCTTAAGGCCACTTTCCCTCCAGGGCTGTTTTAATCCTGTCACTTCTCTAATGAAGCACAGAGCTCAAGAATCTGTGCATTCACTGATCTTGCTAGCCCTGTTCCACTCCTTCATAGCCACCTGTTCCTGTCACCTCTGCCTTCTTCCTCACATGACACCGCCATTCCTGGGACTGGTCAGATGGCTTCCTCTCAGACATGGCTGTTCTAAAATCTTTTTTCAAGTAATTGATGCATGTGGTTAAAAAAAAAAAATTTCCCCCAAAATACAAAAGCGCAGGTCTTTCACATTCAGCCTTAAATGCCCCTGTTTTCTTCCACAGAGGTGGCCGCTCTTCAGTTTCTTGCATGATCTTCTAGAGTTGTCTACAACATGCATTCCCTGCCTCCCTGGGTTTTGAACATAAAGGGCAGGGTACCCTCTACACATTGCGTCTTGATCTTCTGAACAGTTTCACTTGAAGGTCTTTCCTCATCTGCCCACTGCCCAGCTGCATACAGCAGAGGGCGCCATTTGCCCAGAGCAGCCCAGGAGCTCAGGCTGGATAATGCAGGGCAGAAACCCTGGCTGCACAGAGCTTTCTTGAGACTGTGACATCCACTGTGCAAATGAACCATGACCTCTCTAGGATGGGCATTTAGGTGGCTTTCATTCAAAAGTTTGGTTTTATTTTTTAAAGAACAATTGTCCTCAAAATATGATTCTTAAAAGATTAGAATTTTTAGTGACTTATTTTTATCAGTCACAGTTATTTGGTGTTGGCAGCTCCACAGCCAGGGATGTCTAACTTGGTTTTGTTTCATCTCTCTGTAGGCCCTTTGTCACTGTGGGGAACCAGAGACAGCCGACACTTCACCAGCTTGAGCCATGCGCTGCAGACACAGTGCTGTATCTCTCCTCCCAGCAGCTGGTCAGGCCAGCAGTACAGACCCTACAGCTTCTTCACTAAATGTATGTAGACTGGCACACACTTCCACCTCCTGCAACAGGAAAGTAGGGGTGCTTTCCTGTCTTGATTTTTCTTCTGTCATAAATGAATTAACATTTTAGTGATTATTAAACTAAAAATGCACGTTAGTGTAGCAACTAGAATTATCTCATGTGCTATAGCTATATTTGGAGAGCGCTAGTTTACTCTGAGCCCCTCATTTGGGGCACCCACGGCCTAAAAGTATTGAATTGTGCCCCAGATACCTTGCTGATTTAGAGTCACACCAAGAAGGCCCTCACTGTTTTTAGCTGGTCCTTTGCTAGGACATATCATTTGGAGAAGTTTAAGAGACGTCACTACTGAGACCTGAGTTGTGATTGGCAGACATCAGGGAAGCAAGTCTACTGGTCAGGGACTTACTGGGATTTAATGTTAGCTATCTTTTGTGGAAAAAAAGTAGAATTGTCTCCTCTTGTGTTTTCCAAATGTAATCATGTTTTATGTTCACTGTATGATTTTATTTTATTTTCATTACCTCAGTGACATGGGTGAAGCTGGGCTTTGCTGGCCTTTCTTATTCTTAGGAGAGTGTAGATCTTTGCTTTACAACTACAGAATTTTTTAAAACCCCGTTTCCTTACAGTGACAGCAGATGAGCTCTGGAAAGGTGCTTTAGCAGAGACTGGTGCTGGGGCAAGAAAAGGAAGAGGCAAAAGAAGCAAAAAAAAGAGAAGGAAGGATCTGAACAGGGGTCAGGTCATTGGTGAAGGTAAATGTGTTTGGTTGTTTTGACAGTTTTCAGATTGGGTCCTGAACTTGGGGTGGGAAACTGATGATCTTGGGAAGGGGAGAAATGGGAAGCAAGCTGGGTCTGAGGGAGGCTTGAGGGGCCCAACGGCAAACTTAGTTCTAAAAAGAGTCAATGTGCTTTTAAAGTATTTTCCCCAGATTTTATGGATATTTGGCAAACAGGAAACATTCTCATTAAGTGCACAAGGATCCATGGTTTAGAGTCCAACCAGGGGGCTTACCAGCTGCCCCAGAGTGTCAGGTACCCCTGTGGGGCACAGCTGTGATAGGTCCTGTGCTGCATACAGCCCAGTGCAGGCAGGTGGAGCTCGCAGAGAGCTGGCAGGCTTCCCCTGCCCAGAGAAGACAGTGACCAAGAGCAGACCTGTAGTCACAGGGCCTGTTGCAGCTACTTAACTGGGCTGCTGTCACACAGAAACTGCCCTGGACAGCGCATGGTTGGACAGGCCCAGCTGTGTTCCAGTAAAACTTTATTTACAAATCAGCTGGTGGGCCACACTTGGCCTTGGTCCTTCACGTGCTGATGTGATTGTTTATACTTGTGCTTTTGAAAGCAAAAATAGGATGGGTGAACTTGAACTGGCTTATTTTTACTGTTGTGCAGACTCGTCGCTTTTGATACTAACAACCTTTCAGAAATAAAGGAAGCACCTTGTGCTGCACTTCTAAGATTTCACCTCTGCTTGGGTGCTTGTTTTAGTTTTTAAGCATTTGTTATTTATTTTTAATAATATTAATAATAATAGTGATGATGATGATTATTATTTTCGAGACAAGTCTTGCCATCTGGTCTTGCCAGGCTGGTCTTGAACTTGCAGGTTAAAACCTCCCTCCTGTCTCAGCCTCCCACCTACCTGGGACTGCTGACATGCACCACTGTATCTGGCTATAATTTATTTTTTCAAATTATAAAAATCGTATGCATACCTTCTCAGTAAAAACGCAGATTGTAGAGAAAACTAAAAGCCCCTGATGTCCTTCTGCCATCCACATTCCCATTGTCTCCCCTGAGGGGCCACTGGTCTCATATTGGTATTTCCTTCAGTTGTTTTTGTGTGTGCGCGTGCGCGCTTGCCGCAGTCCGGCTGCAGCAAACTAACCGGGGGGGTGACGAACAATTTGTGTAGATTGATACAGCAGGAGTGGAAGCCGTTTATTGCAGGACAGGAGCAGTATTTATACATTCCACACAGCTTATCTAATTAGCATAAACTAGATACAGCAGTCAACCAATCAGGAATCTCCACACTTAATGGCTCGCTTTTGTTACTTCTCAAACCACTCCCTCTGGCATTTTGCCAGGCACCATCCAGACTTGTTTACGAACTCTAACATTCCCCTGGCAAAATGCCAGGTGTTATTTTGACTTGTTTACAGACTCTAACACGCGCTTTTGTATAAATTCCCTAAAAGAAATAGATACTGTCTTAAAAAAGAAAAGTAAAAGATAATTTTACCATATGGTACATGCAATTGTATAATCTGCTTTTTTTTTTTTTTTAACCTAATAAGAGGTCTCAGGGCTGGACATGGTGGCACACCCCTTAACCCCAGCGACTGGGGAAGCTGAGGCAGGAAGATGACAAGTTCAAGAACTTAGCGAGACCCTATCTCAAAATAAATAAAAAGGGTTGGGGATGTGGCTCAGTGGTAGAATGCCACTGGGTTCAATTTCCAGAACCAAAAGTAATAATAATAACATGTCTTAGAAATCATTCCACATCAGAACCTGGAGAGCAATGGTTTTTGATTTTGTGTAGGATATGGCACCTGTTGGCTGAGCGTTCAGCCGTTCCACTGTTGCCGACTCGGCTTACGTGCATTCCAGGTCGTGTTTCAGCAGACATCTTAGCGCTCACAGGCCTCACTGGTGTTTCTCTTGGTAAAAGTGAAAGTGCGGTCACATACCTGTAGGGTAGATATGCATAAAATTGTGACAGTGCAAGGTCACCTGCCGTGTGACCACATCAGCTTCAACTCCACCACACTGTGCTGGTGACTGTACACGCGTTCCCTGGCATTAACACGTGAAGAGTGAGCAACTTTTGGAAGTTGTCAGTCACCTATAATCTTAACCCTCCAGGGCGCTACGGCTTCCTGTGGCCGGGTCTGAATGCCCCTCTCATGAGAAATGGAGCCGTGCAGACTATTGCCCAGAGGAGCAAGGAGGAGCAGGAGCAGGTGGCGGCTGACATGCTCCAGCAGAGGGAAGAGTGGGACCGGAAGCGGAAGATGAAAGTGAAGCGGGAGCGAGGCTGGAGCGGGAACACGTGGGGTGGCCTCAGTCTCGGCCCCCCGGACCCTGGTCCCAATGGAGGTATTGGAGGCCTGGTTCGCTTGCCTTTGGGTAGAGGACGTTTCATCCTACAGAGTTTCTGAAAATAATTTTATTGTTTACTTGTCTGTTTAGATTACCCTTTTTGAAAAAAGTATTTGACCTCTTTGACTAACTTTCCACATTGTTTTCCCAGTTGCATTTGTGGGACACTAGAGGCCCGTAACCAGGAAGTGTTCCTCCAACAGAATGGAAAGTCCTGGGTCCTAGTGCCTTAGCAGGTGCCTTAGACGTGGTGGTATACGTAATAGATCTGTAGGGCGCAGTGTTTCCCAAACACGTGGCCTCAGGCTTGGAGTGCTGGCTGTTTAACAGCAGAGTTGAGAGACCAGAGAGCTATCACTAAGCCTTTGTAAAAGCAAACATGAAACAAAAATTGATGACACTTAGGCTGAATTAGAAAACAAAGTCTCCCCCTCCCCAAAGAAGGCAAATTCACCTGAAAATCTTGCTCTTGCCAGTTAAGTGGGAGAGGAGGAAGCAAACAGGAGTTAGGCTCAAAGTGAAGGAACGGTTGGGCTGGAGAGGATGGGGCGAGTATGCAGGAGGGTGGAGGTCTGGGAGGGAGAGGACCTGCCCACGAGCCAAGTCCCCAGTTACCAGATCCAGAGTTCAGACAGACGGGCTGCTGTTAGCCAGCAGGGGCAGAGTGCAGGTTTGGGTGAGCCCGTGCAATGGGGGTGGAAAGGTGGGGAGGTCACCTGGTATGTGGTGGCTTCGGTCAGGATCATCAAGTCAGATAGTGGCATTGGTGAACATGGCCACCAGAATATTTCTTGATGAGAAGGTGGCACTTGGCAGTGGCTTCACTATCACCCAGTGGGTGGGACCCAGGCAGTGTCCCGGAAAGAAGATTGACTCTGAGCTGACCTCTGTCAAAGCCAACTGCTGGGTACAGAAGCTTTTATTCTGCTCTCCTATTTTATTATGTAATTGACATTTTCTGGAATAAGTAAAAGCAAGAGAATTGGGGAGTGTTTGAAATAGCTCCCGTGGTGAGCAGAGGATGAGAACTGAAAGCCGAGGAGCAGGGAGTTCCCGAGCGAGTCAGACCCACAGTTGAGAGTGGTGAGCGTGGGCCAGGCTCTGATCTCTCCCGACAGCACCCACAGGCCACTTGTGACCAGACAGCTGCCTGGGTTCTGGCCTGGAGAGGGCGGTAGAGACAAAGGTGTAGGGGTTGAGGACGTTGGCAAGATCGTTGAGGAATGAGGGACTTTGGTGTCTCATCGTGAGAGAGGCTGTGAAGACCCCAGTGGACCAGATGCGAAAGCGATCTGGAGGCTCTGGAGGTGTCGGGGCTCCAGGAACCCGTGCCTCAGGAGCCGGCAGCAGGGAGCTGGAGAGGGGGAGGCCCAGTCAGAGAGCCGTGGCTGAGCTCATGAAGTCAGGCCAGGCAGTCCCCGTGGATGATGGGAACTGGGGCACAGCCTGGAGAGCGGCACCAGAGAGCTCAGGTTCTTCCGATTGGAAGTCTGAAGGTACCTGGGAAAGGCTGTCACACGTGAGCAGCTTGGATGCTCTTATCTGTGTGCTTTTTCTTCTCTCCTTGTAGAGACCTATGAGGACTTTGATACCAGGATACTCGAGGTAGGCCTGCCGAGCTCAACTCTCGGGGTCCTCTGGAGAGGTTGCCAGGGTGGGGTGGGGTGGGCAGGAGGAGCTGAGCAAAACTGTGGTTACAGTGATCTCTCGGACACAGACTCAAGTTCAGGGAGGAATTAACACAATTTGAAGTTCAGTTCCTTGATGGTGGTGGTCCCCACTGCTGCCTTGGTTTCTAGGGGACTATGAAATTGAGGTTTGCGAGGGGCAAATTCAGGAGCAGAATTTGGAGATTATATTAAGTTCCTTCTTCCTGGAGCTAGAGTGTGCTATCTGGTGGCCTCTTGTGGAGCTGTACACCAGTTGTGTCTAGGACACAATCAGAGAACAGGTTGGGAGGAGCAGGGGCAGAAAGCCTCAGGTTATGGCCAGTGTCCAGTTTGGATAGGGCAGTGGTCTCTGGGCTGCTCACAGATCCTGTGTCAGGTGTACTTGAACCACCCTTCCAGGGCATTCTCTAATGGCCAGTGTTCCTTTGAGCTGGTATGTGCATTTAATCAGTGTTTAATAATGTAGAACAGAGCCGGGTGCGGTGGTGCACAACTGTAATCCCAGTGGTTTGGGAGGCTAAGGCAGGAGGATTGTGAGTTCAACAGCCTCAGCAAAAGCAAGGCCCTAAGCAACTCAGTGAGACCCTGTCTCTAAATAAAATACAAAAAAGGGATGGGGATGTGGCTCAGTGGTCAAGTGCCCCTGAGTTCAATTCCCGGTACCTCCCCAAAATGTGGAATAATTGATATATCAAATTTGTGACAAAGCCTCTCTGAATATGTATATTTTTTCTTCAATATCAGTTACATTACATTATGGAATTAAAAATATGTTTACAGGTATTTTATGTTGGTATCCCATTGTGTGTTATTCCCCCCACCTCAATTCTAGAGATTGAACCCAGGGCTTTGTGCATGCTAGGCAAGCACTCTGCCACCAAGCTACATCCCCAGCCCTTTTCACTTTTTATTTTGAGAAGGGTCTCACTAAGTTGCCCAGGCTGGCCTTGACCTTGCCTTCTTCCTGCTTCAGTCTCCTGAGTCACATGGATTACAGGCGTGTGCCCCTACATACACCCCAGTTCATAGCTTTTGAAAGTTAATCCCACTGAAAGAGTCTTTCATATGTAGGTTGTTTCCTATAAGATCATTCAGAAGTGTGTACTCAGCCTCCCTTTTCCTTAAACTCCTTCCTAGGAAGGAAAGGGGACAACTGTCATTTAAGCAGTTTAGTTAATAGTTTCATAATTCCTGGCCTTTAAAATAGGCTGAAAAAATTGAAGATTTTCCTGAAGTTTATAATAAATAGGTGTTTCCAAATTCTGTATTCTTGTTTAAGCCTGATCCTTAACATAGCAATCTAGTCCTACGAAGTTTTTTCTTTACGTTGCATTTCATCATTTCTAAGATATTTTAGTACCTTTGATACTGGAACTTGTCTTATAATCAGTGTTAAACTATTTCAAAGTTTAATCCACAGTGTTTTCTTTCCTGTGTACATTTATTAAGATAGGGTATATTGAGTTGTGTAGTTGTAAATTCCTTTAAAGGTTATCTCTCCTAAGAACCCTATGAAATAGGAAGAGAAAGTCTTATTTCCGTTCTGTTCCTGAGGAAATGCTTCAGAGGGAGGGTTTGTTTGGGAAGTTTGCTTCTGTGCCTACTGACTGGAGGTACTGGGCCCCTCACCAAGCCTGTGTGGCTGAGCCAGCAGGTCCTCGTCCTCTACCTCAGAGTTTTCTTCAGCTGTCCTATTGATGAAGCATTTTGTCTTTTAGGTAAGAAATGTTTTTAATATGACAGCCAAAGAGGGGAGGAAGAGATCGGTCCGTGTCCTGGTGGCTGTGGGGAATGGGCAGGGAGCTGCAGGTGAGTGGGGTGACGCTGGACACAAAGAGGCCTGGCTGCCGGTCTCACTTTTTCTACTAATAGAGTCGTCTAGAGGTCTGGGCTCACAAACCTGGTGGTAAACCAAGAGCTCTTAAGGCCTACATCTGAGGACTGGGTATTTTAAAGGGCTTAAGACACCATTGTATTGTGCATAATAGTGAAAAATTAGAACAAGTCCAGTTGGGCCTAGTTACAGGATAGCTATCCAATGTAATATTCTTTTTTTTAAATATTTATTTTTTAGTTATAGGTGGACACAATATCTTTATTTTTTATGTGGTGCTAAGGATCAAACCCAGTGCCTCACGCATGCCAGGCGAGTGCTCTCCCTCTGAGCCACAACCCCAGGCCTCCAAAGTAATATTCTATAGCCATTAAAGAATTGTGAAAAATTACTTACACAATAAGTAATTTTTGTTAAAAATTTGTCATGTAATCATGATTTTTTTAAAGTCGTTTATATGCAAAGAAAAAAACTAGAAGACTATACACTGATAAGTGTTCACTTGGGTTAGCAGGTTTGTCAATCATTTAAATTTTCTTCTTTAGACTTTTAAAGTTTCCCTACTGAACATCTTGTTTTTGAAATGTGTTCATATAGAACTGAAAAACTGTTAGTTGCTTCCTTTTGAAAATTTCGAAGCAAAATCAAAATACATGATAGTGCGTTGCTGTAAGAGACCATGGATAGCAGTTACTGTTGTCTATTTTCAAAAATATCTTTTCTGAAATTTTGTGTCCATGTTACCTCCCTTTACCTTTTTATAAAAAGCTTAGCAGAGATCTTATTATAGCCATGAATTTGCACCTTGCTCTTCTTGCTTGGTTTTGCCCTCAGAGGTCTTCTGTTAGCATAAGCAGATTTCTGGTATTGGTTTCATAGTGTTCCAGTGTGTGCATAGACATGATTTTTGACCCAATCCCTATTGTTTCCAAATTTTTATAATTTATTAAAAACAACAACAACATTGACCTTTTTGTACATGGAGTTTGTTGAACTTTTGGAAGTATAGAAATAGGGGAAATATCTTGAAATTGCTGCCGCACTAGGTTTAAATGTCAAGTATTGCCAGATCTCCTCCTCAAAGGTTGCATCAGTTTATGTCCCTCTGTACCACCCGTCCTTGCCCTGAGTAGTATCAGACTTTACTGATTGTCATCTTGGTCCCTGAAACATCTCTCCTAGTTTACATCTGTACTTTCTAAGTTAGGAGAGCGCCGACGCCATTTTGCGTGTTCATTGGCCGTTGCACTTTCACTTTGGACATCTGTCAGTTCGGGTGCTTTGCATATTTTTTTAATTGGGTGGTTTTCTTGTCCTTATTGATTGGGATTAGCTTCTTGTAAGTTAAGGACATGAGCCCTTTTTGTCTAGCAGATATTTTGACTTAGTTTTGAATTTTTTTTCCACATCGAAGCTTTAAAATCCACAGAAGTATGAACCCTTAACATAGCAAATTTATCAGTCCTGGGTCACTTCTGGTTTGTGTTTTGCTTAGAAAGCCTCCATTTGAAGATTATAAGTAAGTCCACTCATATGTCCCTCTAGGACTTCCATGGTTTACTTTGTTCTGTTTAAACTAGGAACTAGAATTCAAGCCCCTTTCATCCCAGGCCTTAGATGTCTTGCCTATTTTATTTTCCTGTGTATAATTTTAAAACAAAGTACTTTTTTCAAATTAAATAATAAATGGTGGCAGCAAATAATGGAAGCATTTCTGCAACTTGTGATAAACCTCATTTCTTAGGGTAAAGCATTTACAAATTGGAAACTATTGGGTTTATTTTTCTGGTTAATTAAAATCTAAATTCTGAAATCATAGTTTTACTCTATAACAATGTATTTTCCCCCATCCCTTCTGGTCATTTTAATCTCTTTGCACAAGTGTCCAAAAACATTGCCTTTTATAAATATAGAGCATACTTAGTTTTAAAAATTGAGTATATTTCATTTTATTAGAGATTTATAAAAGGTAATGTTATGTATCTAAATGTAAAGTCTGTAGAATGCCTCAGAACATATGAGCACATCTCTGGCTTTCTTCATGGCTGGTTGTGCATAGCAGGTGTTCTGTGGGCAGTTGAAAGAAGGGCGTGAAATGTTGTAGAGCCCAAACTGGGAGCTGGGGAGAGGCACAGGCTGGGTCAGAGTAGCTTTCCTTTTCATAAGTTTTGCTTTTTCTTTTGAAGGTTTTGCCATTGGGAAGGCCACTGAGCGGGTGGACGCTTTCAGGAAAGTACGTGCATGTTTTTCTTTGTTAACATTTAGTAGAAGATGAAAAGCTCTGTGTTCACATGGGGGCACTGCAGGCACACAGTCACGTATCACGAAGGAATCGTCAGTGTATGTGTGATAATGATATTGTGGCTAAGACCTTATCTTTTAAGGTGCATAGGGGGAATTTTTTATAATAAAATACTTTATAAAATAGTTTTGAAACCCAGCGAGAGATTTAGGAGAATATGTTCCTTCTTTTCTTCAGGCAAAGAACAAAGCCATCCACTATTTGCATTACATAGAGCGGTATGAAGACCATACAAGTGAGTGTGGGTCTTTTCTTGAAGATTTGCAGAATGCCACTGTGTCATGGTGTGTCTGTGACATGCCCTGTGGGTGTCTTTGTGTTGCTCTGACTGCATTCTTACAAATGTGCAAAATGGGGAAACAGCCTGGCCTGGGGGGGTGGCAGGAGAATGAGTGGGGTCAGCGTCTGTGTGTCCTGTGGGCTGACTGCTTAGGGCAGCACCGGGTGCTCTGTGGCTTTTGCAGACATTAAAGCCACACGCCTGACCCTCCTGTGTCTGCTTTATCCCCCAGTATTCCATGACATCTCGTTGAGATATAAGAGGACGCACATCAAGATGAAGAAACAGCCCAGAGGTAACTGGAAAGCTCTGACTCTCTGTTGAACATAAAGCAGAGAAACCACAACAGTCCCATCCTCCCCCCTGGCGTTGTTCGCCTCTCCTTGAACTCATCCTGAGAGTGACAGATGGGAAGGCCTGAATTAGGCTGAGGAAGGCGAGGCTCCTGGGGAAGAAGCCAAGGTCGGGCTGCACAGGCCCAGGCCTGTTCCCAGAGTGGCTGAGGCGGGCGGAGCAGGTGGTGGTGGTCAGGTTGGATGAGTGGGCACATGGTTCCTCCTGGAGCCTTCACCCAGCTGGACGGTGTTCCTTCCTGCCAGTCACGTGCTGCTCCTCTACAAGTGTCGTGGTGTTAGGCTTGTTATTTGGTGCTGGGGATTAAACCAGAGCCCCGCACCTGTGAAGCACGCGCTGTCACGGAGTTCCCCCCAGCCCCTCACTGTTGAGTGCTGTTGAATTTCTATGATCTCTATTCATTGAGGCACTGGGTGAGCAGAAATGGCCTTTTCTGTCTTGTGGACAGGCCACAGGCAGTGCTAGCTATGGGGACAGTCACGCCCAGTGCACTCTTGGTGCAGAATTCTTAAACATTTGGATTTGCATTTTGCTTGCAGTTCTGTAATAAGAACCTGTTTCATTTGACTGTAGTTTTTTAAATCTCAGGAGTTCAGGTCAGGAGCTGGGTGCAGTGGTACACACCTGTAATCCCAGTGACACTCAGAAGGTTGAGACAGGAGGATTGCAAGTTCAAGGCCAGCCTCAGCAACTTAGTGAGGCCCTAAGCAACTGAGCTACTGCCTTGTGCCTTCCTCAATGCTGTCAGGAGGAAGAGGAGGGCCACCTTCATCAGGGTGGCCAGAGGTGGCCTCTGAGCAGGGGCAGTGTGAGTGAGATCCTGAAGGAAGAGGAGCAGAGGGGGCAGGCCTGGGAGAACGTTCCAGGCTGGGGGATGCCCCAGGTGCAGTGTGCCCTCGTGCACAGGCCATGTGAGGACAGTGCAGTAGGTGGGGTCAGGCACTGTGTGTGTGTGTGTGTGTGTGTGTGAGAGAGAGACAGAGAGATAATGATATTGTGGGGGAAGATCGTGCAGACGTCTTTGTTTAATTCAGAGAGCAATGGCAAGTGAGAGGCTGTGCCCGGGAGCCTTGTGTTGCTGAGGATCAAACCCAGTGCCTCACACATGCCAGGCAAGCGCTCTGCCTCTGAGCTATAGCCCCAGCCCTGGCTTGTGTTTTTGAAGCTCTTCTGGAGGAGGGATTGCTGGTGGCCAAGAGCAGGGCACATGGCTAGAGGGGAGGAGACCACCCCAGCACTAAAGGCCATCAGGGAGGTGAGAAAGCACTCCAGGAGCCACCAATTCAGGAGACGCTGCCACTTAGGCCAGAAGGTGTTCCCAGGAGAGGGAAGTGGTGTCGCTGCCAGGGCAGCTGAGTGCTCTAGGAAGGTGAGGACAGGCGTCTCCCTTGATGGTAACCAAGCATGGACACGGGAGCTGGCATGGGTAGAGAGCAAAAGAGTTTTCAGGCACTTAAGTCTTAATCTAAGTAATATCCTGGTTCCCCCCCCCCCCACTACATTTAAGGTAGATGTTCTGTTTAATTTTTGTACATACCATTGAATAAATGTCGTCCTGGAAGTCACACCAGCTGAGGGTGGTGAAGCCAAAATGTCATTCCCTAAACCCAGAGCCACATGAAAGACAGCATGCTGGCAGGTGCTCAGTCCATTTCCTGTCTCCTAGGATACGGCCTCCGCTGCCACAGGGCCATCATTACCATCTGCCGGCTCATTGGCATCAAGGACATGTATGCCAAGGTCTCTGGGTCCGTCAACATGCTCAACCTCACCCGGGGCCTCTTCCATGGGCTCTCCCGCCAGGTAACCTTCCCTGGGGTTTGAGCAGGTCTGGCTGTGCTGCAGACCAAGGTGCTGAGGGTCTCCTAGGGGCTCTCACGGCCACCTGAGGATGTGGGCATTCTTTGCTGTGTATGGCGTATCCCCTTAGTCAGACCCACCGAGAGCTTGCAGTGGTCATGTGCATGTGTGGATATGCAGCAGCAAATCCCGTCATCTAGAGCTGCAGTAACGCACCAGTAAAAAACGTGGAAAGAAAAAATTTTTAAAAAGGAGAGTTCATGGTAATTAACCAACAGATGGAGTTTTTGAAGTTATTTTTTGTTAAATATTTTTAGTTGTTGATGGGCCTTTATTTTATTTATTTGTACGTGGTGCTGAGAATCAAATCCAGTATCTCACACATGCTAGGCAAGCGTTCTACCACTGAGCCACAACCCCAGCCCGCCTGGGTGGTTTTTGAATAAGATGATACACATAATCGTTTTACGTACCTCTGTTTAAAATGTGAAAATTAAGCTGGGCATGGTGGCACACGCCTGTAATCCCAGTGATTTGGGAGACTAGGGCAGAAGGAACCCAATTTTGAGGTCAGCCTCAGCAACTTAGCAAGACCCTGTTTCAAAAAAAAAAAAAAAAATATATGTGTATACATTTATATACTATGTATGTATAATTTATGTGTATATACGTATCATTTTTATATCTGTATGTATATGTATATATTATTTATATATGTATATATAGATTTTTTTAAAAAAGGCTTTGAATAAAAGATCTTTTTGGAACAGCTTTTGTGCTGTTGGTTTTTAGCTAACATCCTTCAAAGCATTTCTAAATTCAGGCTTGGGAGGGTTAATTATTTAATTGTTTGGTGTGATGAAGCTGTTGGTTGCGTTTACCTTTCATGTTTCTTCCATGTGCTGTCGTTGTTTTCTCTTGGCATTTTGAAACTTCTCTTGTGGTCACTATTTATCATCTCTTCTAAAATGTCATCAGTTAGGACGAGTTGCATTTTTTAATGTGCCACTCAAAAAGGCAAAAATACCACTAATTTAGGTGAGATGCCTTTGATTATAAGATACCAATTTAAATTATTTTATTTTATTTATGAAACAGCCTGTCTTTTTTTTTTTTTTGGTCCCAGGAATTGATCCCAGTGGCACTTAACCACTGAGCTACATCCGTAGCCCCTTTTTTTAAAAATATATATATTTTTTAGTTGTAGATGGACACAATATCTTTATTATTTATTATTTATGTGGTGCTGAGGATCAGACTTAGGGCCTCATGTTTGCAAGGCAAATGCTCTACCACTGAGCTACAACCCCAGCCCATCCCTAGCCCCCCCCTTTTTTTAAATTTTGAAACAGGTTCTCACTAAGTTTTAGGGCCTTTGATAATTGTTAAAGCTGGTCTGGAACTTAGGACCCTCCTGCCTCAGCCTCCCAAGAGGCTGTGTTTACAGGCATGTGCCACCGTGCCTGATGAAACAGCTTCTTTTTTCCAATTTTGAACACTTAGAGAATTAGGGTAGTACAAGCGCCATAGTCTGGAAACATGAGGTTACACATATCAGATTTTTCAGGAACTATGAATAAACCATCCACTGGATGTATTTGCCTGTTTCCAGACTTTTGTGGCACCTGCTGCAGTGACCCCAGGGCTCTGCTGCCCAACCAGAGCTAGTCTTGTTTCTCAGCATCACCTCACCGAGTTGTTTTGAACCAAATCTCAGGTGCCATTTTATTTCATTCATAAATATTTCAGTGTAATCTCTAAAGGATCCATTTACTTCTATGGTAGAGCGCTTGCTAGGAACACTTAAGGCCCAGGTTTGATCCCCAGCACTGGAAAAAAAAAAAATGTCATGGTACCCTTACCATTCCTAAATATCATGACTCAGTATTATCAAGTATTGAATCTGTTCATTCAAATCTATCCATTTGTCCAATTTAAAAACATTTTTTTACACAGTGTGATTCAATCCCGTTGATTTGATTCAATTCAGTTGAGAAGATGTCAGCACTTCTGAAGTTTCTCCTGTGTCTTTTAAGTCTCTCTTGGTCTGTCCCTCTCTTTTCCACACTTGCTGCTGTTGTGTTGAGGAAGTCAGGTGGTTTGTCCCATAGTGTTTCCAGGGTTGAGCACCCATGGGGTCCTTGATGTCCTTTCCCCCGCCCCCCCCCCCCGGACCTCCTGTGAGTTGGTTGTTAGATCTCAGGGCTCCGAGAGGTTCAGGCTTGGTGCTTGGCCCAGCAGGCACGTGCTTAGGGAGTTTGGAAGGTGAGGCCTGGCGTACCCCAGTTTGGGGTGGGAAGGTGGGCTGAGGTCATCCCCCTGTGACAGCCACTGTGGTTTAACCATCCAGAATCAGCTGGCACTGCTCTTTCTCCAAAGCGCTCTGGTGGGTACTGCACCCCCACCCCCACCCCCACCCCCATCCCACCCCTGTGGTGGTGCCTCTCACTCCTATAGCCATAGGGACCCTCGGAGACCTAATTGCTGTTCTCACTTTGGTCTTGCCCAGGAAACCCACCAACAGCTGGCCGACAAGAAGGGTCTCCATGTGGTGGAATTCCGGGAGGAATGTGGCCCCCTGCCCATTGTGGTTGCCTCCCCCCGGGGGGCCTTGAGGAAGGATCCTGAGCCAGAAGAGGAGGTTCCTGACATCAGGCTGGACTGGGAAGAGGTGAAGGCTGCACAGGGAATGAAGCGCTCTATTTGGTCAGGTCTCAAGAGGGCCGCCACCTAATCTTCTCGCCACTGACCTTCCTGCCACCTGGCCCCCCCACTGCAACACCGTGCCTGCTGCCCTAGGCACCTGGGGACTCCCCCCTCACATCTTGCCATGTCACCTCTTTTTTTTTTTTTTGAGGAAATTTCAACATTCTTTATTTACAAATAAATAATTCTAGTTTTGATTTATTGATCACATGATCTGTGCTAGGCAGTGTGACAGGGACGTTACACACAGACCTTGTTCAAGACTACTTTAAATACTTGCTAAAACCAACAAAAGTAAATGGAGCAGGGAGACAGGAAAAGACCCACCCAGGGGTAATGTGCACAGGGACGTGAAGGGCTGCGGTGGCTGTGCCCGACGCCCACTCGTGCTGGTCCATCTCTGGGAGGTGACCTCCCGCCCTGTCCCCCACAGCTGCACCCACCTCCAGCAGGGCCCAGGCTGCCCTGGTGGCAGGAAGTGCCTCGTTGTTCCGACTTGCACGTCAAGTGCCAGCAGCGGGAACCTCTTGTCACATGCTTGACACCACTTGTGTGGTGTCTGGAGAAATGTCTCTTCACCTCTTTTTGCCCATTTGAAAAATTGGGTTCTTTGTGTTTTTATCATTGAGTTGTAACAACACTTTAGTATTGTGGACACAGGCCCCTGTAAGGGGTGTGACCCATCATGTTCCTCCTCCGTGGGGTGGATCATCATTTCCTGTTTCTTTGAATACTTTCTCTGTCCCCGTCCTCCTCCCATCCACTGCCGACACAGGTAGGCCCTTGTCACAGTCCCCCAGCCCGGCGCTTTCTCTGATTCAGATTGGGTGGTTCCCATTACTGTCCAGGATTAGTTCCTCTTTCCTCTCTCTTCTGCTCTCAGACCATCCACCCAGTATTTTTATTTTGGCTGTTGTATGTTCCAGTTCTAAATTTCCATTTGATTCTTCCTGATATCTTCTATTTCTTTGCCGAGACTTTCCAGTTTTTTGCTGTTTGGTGTTGTTTGTGATTTGCGCTGAAGCATTTCCACGATGGCTGTTCTGAATCCTTGTCATGTAGCTCCAACATCTGTGTCACCTCAGTGTTGGTTTCCGTTGTCCCCTGGGTAGAGGTGCACTTTCTGGGTTTTGGCATAATCAGTAGTGGTATCTCACACATTTTCATTACTGTGTTCTAAAACCCTGGGGTTGATGTGGCTTTCCCAGTAGCCTCCTCTGCCACCCTGGTAGTGGAATGGTCACCTTGGGAACGTGACCATGACCACCAGCTGCAGAGGATGTGCAGGCCCTGCTGGAGTTTCCCCCAGGCCTCTGACTGCACCTGCAGGACCGGGAGAGAGCCACCCTGGCCTGGCGCTGCTGAGTTCTTCTGTGGCTTCATGGGGTGTGGGCAAGGCTGCGTTTGTTTTTCTTGCAATATTTGACTGGATGGAGGCAGTTATTGATTGAAAGTTTCTGTCTTGTTGGGTCACCCTCCCTCCAGTATCTAATAAAAAGATATTTTAGATGTGGGGAATGAAGCGATCCTGTGTACTACTAGAAAATGGGGCTGCAGGAGGGGTCACTCCCTCACAACCAGGTGCCTTCCCTGAGTTGAGGACATGGGTCTGGTAACTGAGGGCTGTCAAAGGTAACCAGAGTTGATCAGGTTTCTTTGACCAGCAAAAAAATGAGCAGGAAATAAAATAAAAGATTGAGTACAAAGAAGTGAGGATACAGAGCGCAGCAGATTTCCTGCCGCAGTCTGGCTGGGCACAATCAGGAGCCACTTGTCAAAAGAAACTAACTTTATTTTTAGAACCACACACGACAAACAAAATAGTCTCTCAGGAAAAACCCTCAGAGCCTCAACTGCCACCACCGGCTTTCCCCAAGCCTCTCTCTCCCACACAAGCTTCTCTCCACCTCCCACAATCCTCCTGCTCTTGAGGCCGATTGGCTGGGTCACGTGGGCGGAGCCAAAAAAGTCCCCCAATGAGCAGCTCCGTGGTCTGAAAGGGCAGGGAAACAGTCCAATGAGCATCACCGCAGAGGAGCTAATCAGCTAGATGTTGCTGGGGCCGAGGAGCCAATCAGCTAGATGTTGCTGGGGCCGCTGTGAGCCAATCATCAGCCAGCAGCTGGAAGTTTGCTGGCAGCTGGAAGTTTGCTGGGGCCCCTTTGGCTGTGGCTCTCAACATCTCCCCCTCTCTGTTTAAACAACAAGCATGTGGCTTAGGGACCGTGCCTGTTAGGCAGTCCAATTCAACATATGGTCCTTACCCGTCATCGGATGAACTGACCTCTAGGCGTCAGCCTCCTGTCTTAGGTTGGTACCACTGCAATTGGATCACACCCGTCACTGACTACCGGTCCAGCATACAGCCATACTTGTGGATAGGCCTTTGCACCTGTGGGGGGGTGAGGTTCTTTGCCTCACCTCTGTTGGCCCCCAAATTTTAGACCATCACTAGTAGAGGAGGATGCAAAATGCCATGACATTAAGCCAATTGAGGGCTCCTTTGAAAAATTGTACCACCGGTGACATCATCAGCAAAAATACTCCAACACTACCACAAGTCACTGCACCAACAGATAGTTCACAATGCATACAGGTGAGCTCACAGTGTGTCCAGGCAAGTTCTGCAAGCAGTTCAGTGATGGCTATTGTAGAAGCTGTAGATTGGTTTTATCTTTGACTTCACCAGCACTGGGATGAAGATAGGAATTCTGGCAATAATGGCTAAAGAAAAAATTATGTAACATTACAGAAGGCACTAAAAGAAAACAATTTTCTTAACAATTTACATTGTCTTCACCGGCACTGGGATGAAGATAGGAATTCTGGCAATAATGGCTAAAGAAAAAATTATGTAACATTACAGAAGGCACTAAAAGAAAACAATTTTCTTAACAATTTACATTGTCTTTAAGAGAATTATTAAATATAATGAAAAGGAAAGGTGAAAGTAAACAAACAGATCTGTTAACCTTCTTTTTTGTTTACATATTAAAACAATCCTCAACAGTTGTTTACCCAATTTAAATTAAACCATATAAATCACGTGAAAAAAAAATATTTGGATCCATTTTATCATGAGCGCTCATCATATATGATATATGGACATACGTACATTCAAACATATAACACAAAACACAAGTGTGCACACATAATATAATACATACAACACATAACATTATAGTAAAGGCCTTATAACTTTTTACAGGTGAAATCTCCATTGCAATGTTTAAAAACTCTATAGTCAAAAAATAGAACTGATCAGCAAAACATTAACCTAGGTCTGTATGAGCTCAAAAAACAAAATAGAACTTCATGATATGGCAAAGGGCAATAATAAAATAGATATTGAAAAAAGCATCCTGGTTCTGTTGCAGATGTAAGAATAGCCAAACTGGAGTTTTGGATATCAGTTGTTATGGATTTGAGCCAAATCATCTTCTTTTTGGTCTGTAGAAATCGCTTTAGTTAATCTTTCTGGAATCCAAATCGGCTGCTGTTCTCCCTGTGGAAACACATAAACAGACCCCCGACTCCAGACAATCACTGGGTCAGGACCTTGGTTAATCTCTCTGGAATCCAAATCGGCTGCTGTTCTCCCTGTGGAAACACACAAACAGACCCTCGACTCCAGACAATTACTGGGTCAGGACCTTTCCATTGTCCTGTTAGAATATCCTTCCAAAGTACCTTGGGCTTATGTACATTTTTTGGACACATATGCCTTTCCGCAGCACTAAGTCCTGATGAATCCAAATTTAAAAAGTTTAGAGTAAAAAGGGTTATTTTAAGTTTATCTTTGGGGAATATATACCCCTTCCCAATTCCTTCTTTTTGCTTTAATAAGTACATTTTAAGAGTTTGATGAGCTCTTTCAACTATGCCTTGTCCCTGTGGATTGTATGGGATTCCTGTTATATGAGTAATGCCAAATGTTGAGCAAAATTGTTTAAAAGAGGTAGAAGTATAACCAGGGGCATTATCTGTTTTTAACTGTTTTGGAACACCCACAGTGGCAAAATTTTGTAAGCAATGAGCTATAACATCTTTAGTTTTTTCTCCGGCATGAAGGGAGCCCATCAAAAATCCAGAAGAAGTATCAACTGTAACATGCAAATATTTTAATTTTCCAAATTCTGGCAAGTGTGTGACGTCCATCTGCCAAATATGGTTAGGTATCAATCCTCTAGGATTGACTCCAAGATTAACTTGTGGTAAAAAGGTCACACAATTTTGACATTGTTTTATTATTTGTCTAGCTTGTTCCTTAGTTATTTTAAAACGCTTTTGTAAAGTATTAGCATTGACATGGAACTTTTTATGAAAATTTATAGCTTCTTCTAGTGTAGAGAAAATATGTATGTCATGTGTAGTTTTATCTGCTAAATCATTGCCCAAACTAAGGGCTCCAGGCAATCCTGTATGTGCCCTGATATGTCCTATAAAGAATGGATCTTTTCTGTCCCAGATTAGACTTTGTATAGTGGAAAGCAAAGAGAAAACAGTAGAAGAAGGGGAAATCCTACCAGCATCTTCAAGAGATACTATAGCATTAGCTACATACTGACTATCAGAAAATAAATTAAATACAGAATCTTTAAACATCACAAAAGCTTGTAAAACTGCATTAAGCTCTACCTTTTGAGCTGATTGTTTGGGTACTAAAAATGTAAAAGTTTGATCAGGGGTAACGACTGCTGCTGTACCATTATTTGACCCATCAGTGAATATATTTGGAGCATTCATGATAGGTGTTTTTCTTGTCATTTTTGGAAAAATTACAGGATGCAATGACCAAAAAGACAATAAAGGATTAGATGGTAAGTGGTTATCAAATGAAACATTAGATTTGCACATGATTATTGCCCAAGTATTTAACTCATTAGCTAACTCATCAATTTGATTCATAGTATATGGAGTAATAATTTTATTGGGAGAAATTCCAAACACTCCCTTTGCTGCTTTTATTCCTTTGAGTATTAATTGTCCTACAGCCTCAGGATACCTAGTAAGAATAGTGTTAGGAGAATAAGATAAATGTATCCATAATAATGGACCTTCTTGCCAAAATACTCCTGTAGGAATATTTTTTGTTGGTAGTACAATAAATAATAAAGGCAAACTTATATCAATTCTATCCAAATGCATATTTTCCATATATGTTTCAATGATTTTTAATGCCTTTCTTGCTTCAGGCGTTAACATTCGGGGTGAATTTGGATCTGATGGACCTTTTAGGATATCAAATAAAGGTCCCAACTCTCCTGTTGGTATACCTAAATAAGGCCTTATCCAATTTATGTCTCCTAATAACTTTTGAAAGTCATTAAGTGATTTGAGTTGATCTACTCGTATTTGAATTTTTGGTGGACGGACCATGGTTGAGGATAATAGAACTCCTAAATAATTAATTGGAAAATTTAATTGTACTTTATCTATTGCTATCTCTAGATTATAATTTTTTAATAAGTTTGTAAGTGTGGCATAACATTCTAGCAATGTGTTTTTATCTTTGTGTGCTAATAATACATCATCCATATAGTGAAATATTTGTAGTTCAGGATTTTGATTTCTAAGTGGCTGGATTAGTTTGTTAACATAAATTTGACACATAGTTGGGCTGTTAGCCATCCCTTGAGGGAGTACTTTCCATTCATATCTCTGATCAGGACCTTCATGATTCAGTGCAGGGATAGTAAATGCAAAACGTGGACTATCCTCAGGATGAATTGGAATTGAAAAAAAACAATCTTTAATATCTATAACTAAAACATACCAGGTTTTTGGCAAAGCAGACAACTGAGGAATCCCTGATTGAGCAGGTCCCATAATAACCATCTCATTATTAATGGCTCTTAAATCTTGCAATAATCTCCATTTACCAGATTTCTTTTTTTAGATAATTGACCTTGTAAACCTCCATGTCCTTGTAAAGTCTTCCATGCCTTAATTGCATCTGCAGCAATTTGTGCGTATACGCCAGGATCATATGCAATTTGTTGCTGCAGATCCTCATAAGGTCCCTTTCCTAACAACATATCTAGATTTCTCTGAGGATAACCAGCTGCTGCATTTCGCCTAGCCGTCTCCTTGCAAAATTCCTCATTGGCAACCTTCCATAACAGGTATTGTCCTCCATTTAGCACAGCTTTACACATATTAGCCCAATCTGCTGGCGTCATGTTCAAGTTGTTAATGGATTCGACCAAGCTTACAGTGAAGGGTGCTTGAGGACCATAGGTTGTTACAGCCTCTTTTAGCTGCTTCACTGTTTTGAAATTTAAAACTTGGTAAAATCGCTGCCCTCCTGCCTCAAATACAGGGCATGTTAATATTTGAGACCTTGTCTCAGGATCCCAACTATCAACTGCGGGGGTTGGGGGCCTCCCAGCATATGGAGGTGGCGCTGTTGGTTGGACACTTATGCCCTCTGGTGATAGAAAGGTGTTAGTAGCAGTCTCCTGTAGAGGTGGTGCTGTTGGTTGGACACTTACACCCTCTGGTGATAGAAAG